TTTGTCCTCATTATTTAAATTTACAATTGGAAAACACTATTTTGAATTTTTGTAAATTCGTGGCGGGTCAAAGGGTTATTGCTTAAAAAACAAACATATTTTCTCAGGAATCCCAGATTATGACAACTGACCCCCCCCCCCCCTCCCCCATATCCCCCACCACTGATTCCAGGATAAAAGAGTTAACATGACAAGAAAGCAACTGCATGTGAGCAAAATATAATAATGAATCATCACAAAACAGTCATAAGGGAATGTATTTTCACAGTGATCTCATGAAACAACAGCATGAACCGGTTTAAAAACATATAACTCTCTCACTTATTGTAAAATATGAACACAAATATATGTTTTTTTTCAAATTCACAAATATTCTCGACTTATTTCTAACAAGTAAAACTTCAAGAATAATTTAAAAATAAATAAAATCTCATGTAGTGTTTCATTCATCTTTGAATGGAATATTTACAGCGCAACATTTCACTGAACAATCTGTCATTAATTTACAGCGGAACAACTTCAATGCCGCCCGAATGCCACAGTCTCATTTTTATTCTGACATTTTAATCACCTTCTGCGACACACTTTCAAGCAACAGCAAACGAAGTTATTTTTTAATAACTGACTCATTTTTATAATATCAGTAACAAATCAATTATTTAGAAATAGGGAAATATATAAAATAAAAAAATAATTGGTAAAATATACATTTGTTGATGTCTACAGACACTGGCAAAAAGGAAAGCCTGAACAGTGTGGTGGCAGAGACATGATCCTTCTGTTTAGTATACTCTGCTCTGTGAAATGCTAGTATTGAAGTTGTGAGAATGTACATCCGAGTTAAGAACTGACATATCAGCACCTGAGACATTCTGACAGGTGCTCCGTCTCCAACTTCAGAAGCCGTTGCAGAAATCCAGTTGCAACGCTACCAACAGCAGTTTTTTTTTTATATGTTTGTCTTGTCGTTGTGAGTGTCTGCCAGATCCCCTGGTCACTCCCTGCTGCACTACTCTCTGTATATTTGACTACTGAATGCATAATAATGTTGTATATTTGACTACTGAATGCATAATAATGTTGTATATTTGACTACTGAATGCATAATAATGTTGTATATTTGACTACTGAATGCATAATAATGTTGTATATTTGACTACTGAATGCATAATAGTGTTGTATATTTGACTACTGAATGCATAATAATGTTGTATATTTGACTACTGAATGCATAATAATGTTGTATATTTGACTACTGAATGCATAATAATGTTGTATATTTGACTACTGAATGCTTAATAACAATGTATATGTGCCTACTGTGTGCATATTAATGTTATATACTTGCCCTCAGTGTGCATATTGATGCTGTATATTTGACTACCGTGTGCATAATAATGTTGTATATTTGACTACTGAGCGCACAATAAAGTTATATATCTACATGTGCCCTTGACACAGAAAAATTGTGCACTAAGAGTTTAAAATGTGTGCACAAGTACAAACTAAAACAGGCTAGACAGGTCACTGCAAGAGGGCAGGTACAGAACCAGTTATTTTACATTTGAAGACATTCATAAGACCTCTGCCCCTGTTTAAAACAAACAGTATAAAAATGATAGCTACAATGATTGTTTTGTTTAAGACTAGGAAACTTCCTCTCAGGCATTAACTCTTTTAGTCCCAAGGAACTCATCACACATCATTAGGTTCCTACCCAAAAGCCCAATGAACGCAAGATGCACCAATTCTACATCTCTCTTTACTACCCCTTGGGCCTCTGATGCTAAACCCAGTGGGACTCAAAGAGTCATGTTTTTATTTCTTGCTACACTGACATGGGCCTCTTTTCTTACACTCTTGAACAACAGAAAGGGAGACAGAGAAAAAACGAAAAAAAATAAAGAAAGGAAAAGGCAAGAGATACGACAAAAAATAAGGAAAGGGAAAATAAAGAAAAGAAAAAAAGAACATTAAATTTCCGATAACTCCCCCCCCCCCCTTTCCCCTCCCCTCCACACAGGTATGTGCTCATAGACATATGTATGCATACATGAAAAACAACAATTATAAAACATTAGAAATCACCAGTAAAGCCTTTATCACATCTTACTAAATCTTTTAGTCTCACAAAATTTTGCAGCAAATTAGCATGGTAAGATTAACCATTATGACAAATGGAAAGTGTATGTTGTTTAAAAACGCTAAAAACACAGTCGAAGTGACCATATTGAAAGCTACATTTTTTTTTAGCAAACTCTTAGCCAAATTTAAAAAAAGTAGAACACATTACGTAGTGGTTGGGACTCGTGGTAGACTTCAATGACACATCATGAAATATTGGAACTGACAGAGTAATGCCTTAGAATATGCTGTATGGACAGTATACTCAGTCCACAAATGTCTCAGCACACAGAAACGACTTCAGACGGACGAGCGGACAGGGGGGGACCCTAGTCCTATCCTTAAAAAAAAAATTTGTTTTAATAAAGATGCCACTTGTAGCTTACAAATATGAAACTAGAATTTGAAGTTATTGGATTTAATAAACTCCATAACCTTCAAGTCTTTTTGGCAATTTTTTTTTAAAGACCAATCTGCACTCAGTGACTGATGTGTCAGTCTACCAGTTGTCTTTACTTCCCAGAATATTTCCTCATACCTATTTTCAGGCCAGGTCAACCAGGAAGCTCAGGTAGCATTTACAAATTGCCTAGAAAGGATTCGAATTAATGACCCCGAGGCTGACAGACAAGTGTTAGCCAATGAACTTCTACCAATTTTTTTTTAAATTACTACTCAATACAATTAGTGCAAACTATCTGCAACATCAGGAATATAAAACTATACTCGTATTTTTATAGATTAATCACTATTCAGTGGGTGATGTGGTCAACATCAGGCCAGCCGCCTTTACTTCTTGGGACATTACCTGGTATATAAGTTGAACTGACCTGGGAGCCAAGGTCAATTCTGAGAAAACTCAATGAAGATTTTGACATTTTGGGCAACTATGCTAAAGCGGCACCAAATACTTAGTAACATTAGTACAACAGCAGGATGCATCCAAGGTCAAGGTGGCCAGAAGTGCAAGAAACATAACCCTATATCTCCCTCGGCACCAAAATGGTAGAAGAGGAAGTAAAAAAAGAAAAAAACAAAAAGTAAAGTAATACAGTAACACTGATGATTCAATCAGGTTTGCCCCTTTAACTCTTTGAGTCCCAGAGGGTTTAGCATCACAGGCCCAAGGGGTAGTCAAAAGAGACTAAAATCGGCGCATCGTGCGTTCATTGGGCTTCTAGGCAGTAACCTATGAACGTATGATGCGTTCCTTGGGACTCAAAGAGTTAAGAAATATTTTTTTTCATCACTAAACAAACAGTGGCTGAAGATGTTTTCTGCTAATTATCACATACTGAAAAGCTTCAATAATGAAAGTGATCACAGAGGGAGACAAATCGAAACTCCCACTAAGTGAAATAACATTGACAGTTCAAATACAATTGTTCATACTGAAGATTATGGGATCAGTAGAGGCTGATGCATTTGTTCACACTAAACTAACGTGAAATGAAGCAAATATTTTTTTTTTTAACAATACATGAACAGTTTAATAAAACAGAGACAGTTTTGATTTAGTCTGTTACACTAGACCAGTTCACATTTTTTCAGGTATATGAGTTATATTTGGTGAGTGGAAATGATGTTACTTTTATTGTGTGCTGATCTTTATCTGCTCAGATTTTTTTTATCTGCCTAGAGATTGAAAGAGCCAAATTTTTAGACTGACCTGTGTGTCCTAATCTTAACCTTTTAAAACATTAATCTTGAATAAAACAGAGACAATTTTGATTTAGTCAGTTACACTAGACCAGTTCACGTTTTTTCAGGTATATGAGTTATATTCTGAAAGTCCTGTATTTGATGAGTGGAAACTCATCTTTCTCTGCTGTGCTCATCTTTCTCTGCTGTGCTCATCTGTCTCTGCCGTGTTCATCTGTCTCTGCCGTGTTCATCTGTCTCTGCCGTGCTCATCTTTCTCTGCCGTGCTCATCTTTCTCTGCCGTGCTCATTTTTCTCTGCTGTGCTCATTTTTCTCTGCTGTACTCATCTGTCTCTGCTGTGCTCATCTGTCTCTGCTGTGCTCATTTTTCTCTGCCGCGCTTATCTTTCTCTGCAGAGCACATATTTCTTTGTTTAAAAGAATAACAGTCCATTTTTTAAAGAGCCTATCTTTTATGGCTGAACAAAACCTGCTCTGCTCAGCCCATATTTCTCTGCTGAACCACACTTTCTCTGTTGGGTACACATGTATCAATGCTGAATATTGAATTGAGAATTGACATCACAGCCCTTAGGATACCCCATAAGCGCTCTGTCCCATCTTCAGCAGCAAGCGAGGAGTTCAAATTCTGATGGCACCAGTAACTGATTTTATCATATCACCTGGATCATTCATATATAAGTAAACACAGACAACTGCAACTCTATTAAAAACATATCTTTTGAGGAGGGAGCCTGAACACCTACTAGCATATTCAGAGTTCCATGAGGATAACCTTAACTGTAATGATCAGCTTAACAATAAGGATAACCTTTATGATAAGAATAACCTTCATGATAAAGATAACCCTATTGATGACTAATAATTGTAAAAAAAACCACTGATGCAAACATTTCTCAGATGACTTCATTTCAACATACATATTTTTTTTCATGATATAATGAACCAGACAGGACCATAACAATTATATACACCAGTTGTGATTGACAATTTGTTTCTTTATATCAATGATTATATAATTACCAAATTGTTTAAATTGTACATTACTTCTCGAATCAAATACATTATTTCATACAATCCTTATTTCACCAAAAATAAAACTGTTAAAAACTTTCACCACAAAAATCTTAATTAAAACAGTTAAATCTGATGAAATTGATAATGAAATTAAAAAATTGCTAGATGAAAATAGACTAGAAGCTTGCTGGAAGAGTTAATCATTTGCCCTAGATGAGTTCGTCTGAGACAGTTCATGGAACAGCTCCAGTACAACAATGTCCAGCAGAACATAGCTCAGCTGCAACAGAAATAAATCATGTATCTTTCAGAGGAAAAATATTTCTTACTTCAAAATACAGATTATGTGCAAGTAATTTCAAAGTGTGGGCTATGAGGTCCCTATTTGGGGAAAACAAGAACAGACCCACTGCCTCACTAACGAGCATGTCGTAAGATTCAACTAATTAGAAATGCATCTGCTCGAGAGCTAAGGAACCAACAGTCTGCATACAAATGAGCCATACCTATCAAACTTATATTCACTCGACACTGCGGTTCTAAACAATACTAATGAACCAACAGTCTTCATACAAATGAGCCATATCTATAAAACTTATATTCACTCGACACTCCGGTTCTAAACAATACTAATGAACCAACAGTCTGCATACAAATGAGCCATATCTGTAAAACTTATATTCACGCAGCACTCCTGGTTCTGAAACAATACTAAAGTCCAGAAGTGGACGAACAATCAGAACTTTCTGCCACAGTTTACAGTCGGTGAATGCGAAGAAGAAGAATGTAAGGTATAGAAAACTCTTTTTACACCAGTGGCACACTGGGTACATGATTCTTGATTCATAATTTTTATTTTTTTAAATAAATCAATCAGCACAGTAAAGTGGTCAACATTAAACTTCTTCTTCTGTACAACTGCTTATGCCATAAAGCATGTTACTGAAATGAGTTTCATCTCTGTTGCTAGTCGTGTAGCTTGTATTAAACTTCTTCTTCTGTACAACTGCTTATGCCATAAAGCATGTTACTGAAATGAGTTTCATCTCTGTTGCTAGTCGTGTAGCTTGTATTTATGTCACATTGTCTCTCTGTGGCTGATAGCCGGCTGACTACTGACACTGACTGAGAGAAGAAAAGAGACACTAAATCAGCCAACAACATTCTTTTTAAAAAATGAGAGAGCAAGAGAGAGAGAGAGAGAGAGAGAGAGAGAGAGAGAGAGAGAGAGAGAGAGAGAGAGAGAGAGAGAGAGAGAGAGAGAGAGAGAGAAATTATTACAGAAACAGACAGATATGTAATAGATAGACAAACAACAACAAAACAAAAAAGCCAACAATATCTGACAAAAATATTTAAAAATTAAATTGACCAGCTTACCTGTTTGTTGAGTTTTGGTTGTTGAAATATTTTCAATAAATGCTCACACCCAGTGGTTGCTCTATCAGGACCTAAGGCTGAAACAAGTACAGCTGAAAGTGCAGAAAACATTGACTCAAAATACAAATACAGGGGGATGAATACATGTATCTGAAAGATGAGACTAGCTATAAATGTCACTAATACATGATTAGCTAGCTATATGTAACAGATGGGAATAGTATAGCTATTAGATGGGGAAGTAACATATACAGCTAATGGAAGCAGTATATGTAACTAACTGATGGAAGAGTAGCATATGTAACTAACTGATGGGAGGGCAGCATATGTAACTAACTGATGGGAGGGTAGCATATGTAACTAACTGATGGGAGGTAGCATATGTAACTAACTGATGGGAGGGTAGCATATGTAACTAACTGATGGGAGGGTAGCATATGTAACTATAACTGATGGGAGGGTATTAGCATATGGTAACTAACTGATGGGAGGGTAGCATAGTAACTAATGATGGGAGGGGTAGCATATAGTAACTAACTGATGGGAGGGTAGCATATGTAACTAACGGTGGGAGGGTAGCATATGTAACTAACTGATGGGAGGGTAGCCATATGTAACTAACTGATGGGAGGGTAGCATATGTAACTAACTGATGGGAGGGTAGCATAGTAACTAACTGATGGTGATATGTATACTAACTGATGGGAGGGTAGCATATGTAACTAACTGATGGGAGGGTAGCATAGGTAACTATAACTGATGGGAGGGTAGCATAGGTACTATAACTGATGGGAGGGTAGCATAGTGTGTAACTAACTGATGGGAGGGTAGCATAGGTAACTATAACTGATGGGGAGGGTAGCATATGTAACTAACTGATGGGAGGGCAGCATAGGTAACTAACTGATGGGAGGGCAGCATATGTAACTATAACTGATGGGAGGGCAGCATATGTAACTAACTGATGGGAGGGTAGCATATGTAACTGATGGGAGGGTAGCATATGTAACTAACTGATGGGAGGGTAGCATATGTAACTAACTGATGGGAGGGTAGCATAGGTATGTAACTAACTGATGGGAGGGTAGCATATGTAACTAACTGATGGGAGGGTAGCATAGGTAACTATAACTGATGGGAGGGTAGCATAGGTAATACTGTGGGAAGCATATGTAACTGACTGATGGAGGGTAGCATAGGTAACTATAACTGATGGGAGGGTAAGCATATGTAACTATAACTGATGGGAGGGTAGCATAGGTAACTGAACTGGCAGCAGCATATGTAACTAACTGATGGGAGGGTAGCATAGGTAACTATAACTGATGGGAGGGCAGCATATGTAACTAACTGATGGGAGGGCAGCATATGTAACTAACTGATGGGAGGGCAGCATATGTAACTAACTGATGGGAGGGTAGCATATGTAACTAACTGATGGGAGGGTAGCATATGTAACTAACTGATGGGAGGGTAGCATATGTAACTAACTGATGGGAGGGTAGCATATGTAACTAACTGATGGGAGGGTAGCATAGGTAACTAACCGATGGGAGGGTAGAATATGTAACTAACTGATGGGAGGGTAGAATGTGTAACTAACTGATGGGAGGGTAGAATATGTAACTAACTGATGGGAGGGTAGCATATGTAACTAACTGATGGGAGGGCAGCATATGTAACTGACTGATGGGAGGGCAGCATATGTAACTAACTGATGGGAGGGTAGCATATGTAACTGACTGATGGGAGGGTAGCATATGTAACTAACTGATGGGAGGGTAGCATATGTAACTAACTGATGGGAGGGTAGCAAATGTGACTAACTGATGGGAGGGTAGCATATGTAACTAACTGATGGGAGGGTAGCATATGTAACTAAATGATGGGAGGGTAGCATATGTAACTAACTGATGGGAGGGTAGCATATGTAACTAACTGATGGGAGGGTAGCATATGTGACTAACTGATGGGAGGGTAGCATATGTAACTAACTGATCGGAGGGTAGCATATGTAACTAACTGATGGGAGGGTAGCATATGTAACTAACTGATGGGAGGGTAGCATATGTAACTAACTGATGGGAGGGTAGCATAGGTAACTAACCGATGGGAGGGTAGAATATGTAACTAACTGATGGGAGGGTAGAATATGTAACTGACTGATGGGAGGGTAGCATATGTAACTCAGTGATGGAAGAGTAGCATATGTTACTAACTGATGGGAGGGTAGCATATGTAACTAACTGATGGGAGGGCATGTCGCATGACAGAATCCACACACCTACCGCATTCGGCGGGTCCACAGTCTGAACACCCCCAAAATCGTCATTGTAACTATGATATAGGTTAGGCCGACCGTAGTTATATAGTTCGTTTGTTGTGGGGGAGTCCAGATAAAAAAAATCCCTATAAATCACTCTGATATTGATTCTTTTAGGCTTTTAGTGTCGATTTACACGTTAGGACACATTTTCTACGCCTATTTAAATTAAATTGTCTGACCACTTCACCGCATACGTGAGCAGGATTCTTACACCAACTGCGGTAGTTGGGGACTGTATTTTTATGCGTCACTTCTCTATGGTCCGGACTATGAGGCAGACGCTTTCCTTTTGGGTTGCCACTTGACCGTTAAAAAGACAAGATTCTTGATTCTCTTTCCATTTATCATGGGTGAGTTTTCATAAGGGTTTTTAATTGAATATTTGTGCTCAGAGTGTCTGTGGTGTAGGTAAGTAAGGTCAGCAGATTGATAATGCGAATCTGTTTGTTTACGATCCTTGCGATGGAGGACGGCGAATAGAGCTCCGGATTGGAATGCACTTTCGGCTGAAATTTCTCGGAGAATTCTTCGAACCAGCCTTCTAAACCTCTTCGGATCAATCAATCCACATATCTGGAGTGTATTTATGGTATTGTTAACTTTGTATGATTAGTTGTTTGCTGTTATTCGGTCTCTGAACTTGGTGAGTCGCTGAACAGTTGTGAATGGCAAGGAGCTTCGGGTCAGGCATGACGTCATATCCGCTGTTGCTAGGAGCCTTCGTAACCAAAACAAGCTTAGACTGTCTGACTGTTTTCGGAGCATATTTCCTTCGATCTTAGTTTTAACTTCATCTCCTATACCTTATCTTTCCAATTAGTGAAAAAGGTATATTAAAGGGGAGGGGAAATAATGGAGATCTGTCTGGCTTTCGTTACAGGACTGAATTCAGAAACTATTCAAGTTAATGGAAACGTACATACGACTCTAGTGCTCACTCGGGGAAACTGAACGGATTCCAAGTTAGAGGTAGCCAACCTTCATGGTTTGGACTAGCCCCATCTATATCTGAGCATGGGGAGGTAGTGAGGATATTGATTAACTAGGTGCATTGGGTACGGTTCGCTCATGGGTGTTGCTTTGTGTTTTTCAGGATTTCTGAAGATCCAACAAGTATCCGTGGTTTAACTGAGTACTTCCACCTACCAACACCTAAGATGCATCGTTGATTTAACTGAGTACTTCCACCTACCAACACCTAAGATGCATCGTTGATCTAACTGAGTGCTGCCATCTACCAACACCAGAGTAGCAACTGACGTGTGGTGAACTGTTGTACTGAATGTGCAAACTGTACCTACTGCTGACTTCTTCCGATCTCTGAGGGAGTTGATTGTCCTAGATCAATTCCAGAAGCATCTTCGTTCTCTGGGAGACGTTCTGTGCAGTGAGGGCTGTGGACTTCCATTCTGGTATCCTGAGGAGCTGCGAGATCTAACCAGATAAGTCAAAGTTGCTTATTGAAGCAGCTCGATTCCAGATGGGCCTTTATAATCTATCCCATACCTCCGCTGTGATGTTTTCGGAATTGGCTAGAACTCTTTAAAGAAACTGTTTCTCTTTCTTTGATTCTTCTAAGTTTTGAACATTCATTTTAGTTTTTAAAACAACTCTTATCTTTCTTGTTGTGAAGTATTGAATACATGTCAATTATAGTTCACCGATCTTGCTGTTCTTAGCCAAGTTGCTGTGGTGAATTAAGTGTTGTAGTCAAAAAAGTATTCCCGTCTTGTCATATTCACTGTTGTCTTTTTATTCGACTGTGTTTACGTTGTGTACCAGTCTGGGGCAAAATAGTGGTGAGGACGTCTGGCCGAGAGGTACCCAAGTGTTCTTAATAACCCTGTGGAGTCAGAGCTCGAGTCACCTCATCATTGAGACAGGTTGAATGGAAAGTTTGAACCGAGGGTTAGGCCTCTAGACGAACGAGAGCCACCATTCAAAACACTCCTGTCTCAGAGCACCTGAGGGATTTGTGAAAATATTCCGTAAGTAAAGGTGTGCGACAAAACTGCCATACGACAGGGCAGCATATGTAACTGACTGATGGGAGGGCAGCATATGTAACTAACTGATGGGAGGGTAGCATATGTAACTAACTGATGGGAGGGTAGCATATGTAACTAACTGATGGGAGGGTAGCATAGGTAACTATAACTGATGGGAGGGCAGCATATGTAACTAACTGATGGGAGGGTAGCATAGGTAACTATAACTGATGGGAGGGTAGCATAGGTAACTATAACTGATGGGAGGGTAGCATAGGTAACTATAACTGATGGGAGGGCAGCATATGTAACTGACTGATGGGGCAGCATATGTAACTAACTGATGGGAGGGTAGCATAGGTAACTATAACTGATGGGAGGGCAGCATATGTAACTAACTGATGGGAGGGCAGCATATGTAACTAACTGATGGGAGGGCAGCATATGTAACTAACTGATGGGAGGGTAGCATATGTAACTAACTGATGGGAGGGTAGCATAGGTAACTATAACTGATGGGAGGGCAGCATATGTAACTAACTGATGGGAGGGTAGCATAGGTAACTATAACTGATGGGAGGGCAGCATATGTAACTAACTGATGGGAGGGTAGCATAGGTAACTATAACTGATGGGAGGGCAGCATATGTAACTAACTGATGGGAGGGTAGCATAGGTAACTATAACTGATGGGAGGGCAGCATATGTAACTAACTGATGGGAGGGCAGCATATGTAACTAACTGATGGGAGGGCAGCATATGTAACTAACTGATGGGAGGGTAGCATATGTAACTAACTGATGGGAGGGCAGCATATGTAACTAACTGATGGGAGGGCAGCATATGTAACTAACTGATGGGAGGGTAGCATATGTAACTAACTGATGGGAGGGTAGCATATGTAACTAACTGATGGGAGGGCAGCATATGTAACTAACTGATGGGAGGGCAGCATATGTAACTAACTGATGGGAGGGTAGCATATGTAACTAACTGATGGGAGGGTAGCATATGTAACTAACTGATGGGAGGGTAGCATATGAAACTAACTGATGTGAGGGTAGAATATGTAACTAACTGATGGGAGGGTAGCATATGAAACTAACTGATGGGAGGGTAGCATATGTAACTGACTGATGGGAGGGTAGCATATGTAACTGACTGATGGGAGGGTAGCATATGTAACTAACTGATGGGAGGGTAGCATATGTAACTAACTGACTGGGGTGGGGGGGGGGGGGGGGGGTAGAATTTGTAACTAAAATGCAGTATATTTAACTGATTGCTGGTAAGGTTTTATTCATATACCACTGATTGATGAGAAGTTAGTATATACAATTTTATCTGCAGCTGGGATCGAACCCGACATTACAAAGCACGTTTGCAACGTCTAAGCCACAGACGTCCTTAACAAGCATGTTGTAAATGCTGGGTAATCAAGAACCAAGGGTTTGCGGAAATCAGATTTGTTGGACTAAAAGGCAGAGATATCACAGCCTAGCTATAAACCACAGTACAAGTTGTCAACTGCAACTCTAAAGGTTTGTGGTGAAGAAAAAGAAGAAGAGGAAGAAGAGCAAGAAGAAAATGATGATTAGGAGGAAGAAGATGAAAACAGTAATCAGGTATTAAATATAAGAAAAAACATTAAAGAATGAAATACTCACATGGCAAAAATTTTAGGAATTCTTTCAGCACCTGATCATATCTGTTAACCTTGTTCAACTCTGTCCTGCAAATCAGAAACAAAACTAGGTAACTAACGAGCAAGTGGACTAAAGCATAACAACTGAAATCAAAGTAAAGCTCCGCTTCAAGGCAAGGTTATTTTTTTTTTTTATATAAAAATTACCTGCATTCCATGGTCCAGTCTAAAATAGGCAATAAGAAATTTTCTTAGAAGTAAAGATGGTTCAGAAAATAAAGATCATGTTACCCATCAAGTATTATTTGGTGTAAAAAATAGATGACAGCACCACGTACTCATTATGCCTAACAGTATGACAAAAGCTCCTTACTCTGACTTTACTTACTTCCCTTGAATGCCCAAGCAACATTTTGGAATACAATTAACAGTAAAAGATATGCAAATGAGGGAAAGGTAAATGACAGTGATAAAATCAATTTAGGTGCCTATTCCAGGGAGAGAGCGGAGAAAGGGGGGGGGGGGGTGCTGAGCCAAAAGACAGCGATATCACAGCTTAGCTGTAAACCACAAGACAACATGCAGATCACTCTTTTCAGGTGAACACAAAGGGGATATTCCCACTTGTAACACCATCTTCCTCCTACTCGGCTGCCCCTGACCTTTTCCCCTCGTTTGGTTTTTATAAAAGTGTTTCTTTATGTCCCCATGTGGGTGCCAGGGCCCCATTTTTGGGAAACAAAGAACAAACCCAAGTCTCCCCTTCCCCTAGCATGCTGTAAAAGCCTACTAATTATGGGCATTCCCTTTAAAGTCAGAGTACATCTGCCTGAGAGGCAAGGAAACCAAAAGACTGCATACAAATAAGCCAGATCTGTAAAATGTATGACCATGCAATACTTAAACAACCAGACCTTTCTGCAGCAGTTTACAGCCAGTGAAAGCTAACGGGGTATAAACCCAGTGAATGCTAGGAGGGTTTACAGCCAAGTGAATGCTAGGAGGGTTTACAGCCCAGTGAATGCTAAGAGGGTTTACACCAAAGTGAAATCTACGAGGGTTAACAGCCCAGTGAATGCTAGGAGGGTTTACAGCCCAGTAATGCTAGGAGGGTTTACAGCCCAGTGAATGCTAGGAGGGTTTACAGCCCAGTGAATGCTAAGAGGGTTTACAGCCCAGTGAATGCTAAGAGGGTTTACAGCCCAGTGAATGCTAAGGAAGTTTACAGCCCAGTGAATGCTAAGAAGGTTCACAGCCCAGTGAATGCTAAGAGGGTTTACAGCCCAGTGAATGCTAAGAAGATTCTCAGCTAAGGGGGTATAAGCCCAGTGAATGCAAAGAAGGTTTACAGCCCAGTGAATGCTAAGAGGGTTTACAGCTCAGTGAATGCTAAGAGGGTTTACTGCCCAGTGAATGCTAAGGAAGGTTACAGCCCAGTGAATGCTAAGAAGGTTTACAGCCCAGTGAATGCTAGGAGGGTTTACAGCCCAGTGAATGCTAGGAGGGTTTACAGCCCAGTGAATGCTAAGAGGGTTTACAGCCCAGTGAATGCTAAGAGGGTTTACAGCCCAGTGAATGCTAACAAGGTTTACAGCCCAGTGAATGCTAATAGGGTTTACAGCCCAGTGAATGCTAAGAGGGTTTACAGCCCAGTGAATGCTAAGAAGGTTTACAGCCCAGTGAATGCTAAGAGGGTTTACAGCCCAGTGAATGCTAAGAGGGTTTACAGCCCAGTGAATGCTAAGAAGGTTTACAGCTCAGTGAATGCTAAGAGGGTTCACAGCCCAGTGAATGCTAAGAGGGTTTACAGCCCAGTGAATGCTAAGAGGGTTTACAGCAAAGTGAATGCTAAGAGGGTTTACAGGCCAGTGAATGCTAAGAGAGTTTACAGCCCAGTGAATGCTAAGAAGGTTTACAGCCCAGTGAATGCTAAGAAGATTTACAGCCCAGTGAATGCTAAGAAGATTTACAGCCCAGTGAATGCTAAGAAGATTTACAGCCCAGTGAATGCTAAGAAGATTTACAGCCCAGTGAATGCTAAGAAGATTTACAGCCCAGTGAATGCTAAGAAGATTTACAGCCCAGTGAATGCTAAGAAGATTTACAGCCCAGTGAATGCTAAGAAGATTTACAGCCCAGTGAATGCTAAGAAAGTTCACAGCCCAGTGAATGCTAAGAAAGTTTACAGCCCAGTGAATGCTAAGAAGGTTCACAGCCCAGTGAATGCTAAGAGGGTTTACAGCAAAGTGAATGCTAAGAGGGTTTACAGCCCAGTGAATGCTAAGAAGGTTTACAGCCCAGTGAATGCTAAGAAGGTTCACAGCCCAGTGAATGCTAAGAGGGTTTACAGCAAAGTGAATGCTAAGAGGGTTTACAGCCCAGTGAATGCTAAGAAGGTTTACAACCCAGTGAATGCTAAGAGGGTTTACAGCAAAGTGAATGCTAAGAGGGTTTACAGCCCAGTGAATGCTAAGAAGGTTTATAGCCCAGTGAATGCTAAGAAGATTTACAGCCCAGTGAATGCTAAGAGGGTTTACAGCCCAGTGAATGCTAAGAAGATTCTCAGCCCAGTGAATGCTAAGAAAGTTCACAGCCCAGTGAATGCTAAGAAGATTTACAGCCCAGTGAATGCTAAGAAAGTTCACAGCCCAGTGAATGCTAAGAAGATTTACAGCCCAGTGAATGCTAAGAAAGTTCACAGCCCAGTGAATGCTAAGAAAGTTCACAGCCCAGTGATTGCTAAGAAGATTTACAGCCCAGTGAATGCTAAGAAAGTTCACAGCCCAGTGAATGCTAAGAAAGTTCACAGCCCAGTGAATGCTAAGAAAGTTCACAGCCCAGTGAATGCTAAGAAAGTTCACAGCCCAGTGAATGCTAAGAAAGTTCACAGCCCAGTGAATGCTAAGAAGGTTCACAGCACAGTGAATGCTAAGAAGGTTTACAGCCCAGTGAATGCTAAGAAGGTTCACAGCCCAGTGAATGCAAAGAAGGTTCACAGCCCAGTGAATGCTAAGAAGGTTCACAGCCCAGTGAATGCTAAGAAGAAGAGAGAAGTTTTTTGTGCAGTCAACATATTTTTCTGTCTCTTTTTTAAATTTACTTTTAGTGATAAACAATAAACGCTTCACTGAAATGATAATTAATAACATCAACTATAATATCTAGGTAAGATTATGCAAACTAACAGACAGAAATAAAACAATCTAAAAAAACAATATACCTTGGTGGGTCAGCATCATAGAATAAAACATCTGAAACAAAGCAAAAGACAATTATGGGTTAAATTAAATATCTTAAAATGATTTTAAATAAAGTCAAAAGAGACTACATGTCTGCCAAATAAACAGTAAACATTAGGCATACTTTTTACACGATATCATCATCATCATCTCATGACTCCCCATTAATGTTACTTTCCTGACGTGTCCATAGTGATCTGTTTACAAGATACATTGTTAATGCTATTGGGTGAGTTCACAACTGTGCAAACACTTATAAGGTTAGGATGTAAATATATATTAACCAGAAATAACAATGGAAAAAAAAAAGGGGGGGGGGGTGAGGAGTGTGGGTTCCTTCAAACCGAATGATTTAGAGAAAGAAAGAAAAAAAACTCTAGTTTACATCAAATTTCCCCACAAGCCTCAGTGATAGAGGTCACGGGGTCATGGCATGAGTCACCTTATACATATTTTATTTGTAGGCACCAGGGAATATATTCTATATAATGCTTCACTCTTTTTATCTTGATTAATTACTCCCTTTATATATATATATATATAAAATGGTGCAGTGGAGAGCCACCTGGTCCCTGCTAACTTTCATGCCCAGAATGTCCTTGACATATCCTGTGTGCACCGACATGTAGGTCATCTCCTGCCTCTTTTCAAAGAAACCCTACACTTTATTACTGTTTTTTGCCAACCAATATGACAGTTAATATAGCCAAATTATCTCCATTTACAAGAAATGATACCACAGGAATATAATAATGCAACTTTCAACACATTAAAAATAAATAATAATTTAAAAAAAATTAAAAAATCATGCATATCATTAAAGTTCTCAACAAGAGAACCATCATGACCTGAAGAAAATATAAAAAAATCCAAAGGATGCTAACTACCCGAAGTCTGAAGTGATGCTTTCCACTCTACACAGAGCATGCATGTCTCCACCTTTCTCAACTTGCTCTGTGAGTCAGTTACAATCATGACATGTGTGTACAGCTGATTCTCAAGCCAACAGAAGGCAGCAGTAACTGCCTCCACCTTAATTCTCAAACTAGACGTCCTGATATCAACAAATCAGCTCATGCCATCACTTTACTTCAAAACAAGCCATACATTTCAAGCATGCCATCATACCTCTCGATAAATGAACATACCAGCTCATGGCTATCACTATAGCTCTCAATAAAATGAACAAGCCATTTAGTATATCACTATAGCTCTCAAGAGAAATGAATAAACCAGCTCAAGTATATCACTATAGCTCTCAAGAAAAATGAACAAACCAGCTCAAGTATATCACTACAGCTCTCAAGAGAAATGAACAAACCAGCTCAAGTATATCACTATAGCTCTCAAGAAAATGAATAAACCAGCTCAAGTATATCACTATAGCTCTCAAGAGAAATGAACAAACCAGCTCAAGTATATCACTATAGCTCTCAAGAGAAATGAACAAACCAGCTCAAGTATATCACTAAAGCTCTCAAGAAAATGAATAAACCAGCTCAAGTATATCACTATAGCTCTCAAGAAAAATGAACAAACCAGCTTAAGTATATCACTATAGCTCTCAAGAAAATGAATAAACCAGCTCAAGTATATCACTATAGCTCTCAAGATAAATGAACAAACCAGCTCAAGTATATCACTATAGCTCTCAAGAGAAATGAATAAACCAGCTCAAGTATATCACTATAGCTCTCAAGAAAATGAACAAACCAGCTCAACTATATCACTAAAGCTCTCAAGAAAATGAACAAACCAGCTCAAGTATATCACTATAGCTCTCAAGAAAATGAACAAACCAGCTCAAGTATATCACTATAGCTCTCAAGAAAATGAACAAACCAGCTCAAGTATATCACTACAGCTCTCAAGAAAAATGAACAAACCAGCTCAAGTATATCACTATAGCTCTCAAGAAAAATGAACAAACCAGCTCAAGTATATCACTTTAGCTCTCAAGAAAAATGAATAAACCAGCTCAAGTATATCACTATAGCTCTCAAGAAAAATGAACCAGCTCAAGTAAATCACTTTAGCTCTCAAGAGAAATGAACAAACCAGCTCAAGTATATCACTATAGCTCTCAAAAAAATGAACAAACCAGCTTAAGTATATCACTAAAGCATTCAAGAAAAATGAATAAACCAGCTCAAGTATATCACTGAAAATGAAGATACAATCTCAAAAAATATCATTTTACCTCTCAACAAGTGTATCAAGCTAACCAGACGGTGCTCCTGGGTGACCTGAGTAAGTTTGTAGTCAATATGGTAGTCAACATAATTCTCCAATGTCTCCTTCAGCATGATGCGGCCCGCAAGCATCAACTGGTGGACCCAGAGTGGGGCTTTGTAGACATCCTTCACTAAAATGGAGGACAATCAAAATTGATTTCGCTCAACACCTTTATATTGTGGTAGCAGATAGAAGTTTGCCCGCCAGTCTGGGGTTAAAATCAGCACAAAGGCATATCTTTTTTTCAAAACTGTCCTTGGCTCAGGGGGCTGAACCGGCCTAAAAACGGTATCAAGAATGCTCTGGGTAGTAAAGGTGGTCAGCTGGTATGTTGATGACCACATGACCCCACCTGTGTTGACTGGTCTATACAAATATAGGTAAGCAGTATATGCCTGATGTGCCCTAAAGTCATGAAATCATCCTTTAGTCAACATTTTGATAAGGGTATTGGGTTGACTGGCTGGTAGGTGAATCCTTTAAAAGACTGCGCTATTCAGTACCAAGTACAGTAGAACCTCAATTAACCGGCTCAAGATTATCCACAGTACACATTATTCAGCCTGTTTTGGTTTTTTTCAAATTGGTAATGAAATAAGGATAATTTACTTTACCCAAGTTGGTTGCAAGCGTGCGTCAGGTGATTTTATTGTTCATGAAATTTTATCTTAAAATTTGAACAATATTTTTTTTTATTTTGGACTTTCTTTTCCATAACAAATGTTTATAACATGCAGTACAATACATAAGAAACATTTATAAAGTACTGAGATAAGAAAATATGAACAAGAGTAAGTTTTGGTATTTAAAAAAAAAGGATGTTTTTAATGATATGGGTGGGGTAGAAATTGAGCATTTATAGAACTCCAGGCTTATCCGGCTTTTTGTTGTTGTCCGGCCTGCCCTTCCACCACATTAAGCTAGATACTGCAGTTTACTGTAACTCCAAAGGGCCCTACTGGTTCCTCCCTAAATGGTGTGCTTCTCTCAATTCCTTGTACTTTTTTTTTTCCAGTCACTAGCACACTGGGCATGTAGTGATAGAAGCCTATTTTAACAGACCTACTGGGTGATGTGATAAAACATTATGCCAGTCAACTTTATTTCCTATGACATTTCCAGATACCCTACTTAGGCTGGGTTGACCCGGGAGCCAAAGTTCAAAAACAATGCTAATTCAAACTCATGATCTTTAGGCTGGCATGCAAGTGGCTAGCCACCATACTATCAAAGCTCCTGTTTCCCTCTAAAACAGGGCTTTTTAACTAAATTTACCCAGAGGCCACATTTGTTTTTAATGGGCCTGTTTATGGGCCAGTGTCCCGAACCCCAGCAAAGAAAGATCATTACTACAATAGTAAAGTTAAGGTCCTTTTTTCCCCGCCTTTCAGCATATTGGGAATATAGGGCTAGACCTATATTTTTATCGACCAATTGGCACTTAGTGGGTGATGTGGTCTGCATCATGCCGGCCACCTTTACTTCCAAGGACTGCACCGGGTACCCACCTAAGGCTGGGTTGACCCGGGAGACAAGGTCTCTTTTTGCTTTTTTGGGCCACTAGCTGAATAGCTCTGCTCTGGAATGACCAAACGTAAAACTACCTGGTACTGAAAGCGTTAACTCCCTGTGTGAGTTTTGGGGTCCCATTGTGAAGAGGGTGAACGAGGGAGGGAACAAACCCACTGCCTCCTTATTAAGCATGTCGCTCACAAGAATGAAAGAAAAAATCGGCATAGGCAAAAAGTGAGACACACACCGGGCATACAAAAAGACATCAATCAACAAAGAACTGGCACCATTAGTCAAAGGACGCTGGGGTTCATATTCAGGAAAGGTCCTGAGCACCTATGGTGCAATAATCATATCCCAACTAACTAACTAAGCATGTCCTAAAAAGCCGACTAATTAGGGGTTTTTCCTTCAAAGTCAGAGTACATTTGCCTAAGAGGCAAGGAACCAACAGTGCATACAAATAAGCTAGATAAGTAAAATGGATATGCACATCAAACTCAAGTTCTGGAACAAGACTAGAGTCTAGAAGTGGACGTACAACCATAACTTTCTGCCAGAGAATACAGCCGGTGAACATAAAAAAAGAAAAAGAAGATAAATGTTAATTCAAAGTTCAGTCCACTAACATTCAGGTTGTTTGAGTCCTGAAAATGTCTAGCTTTCAGAACAGAGCTGGAGCAAATATTTTCCTCCTGACTGGAGGACACTAAAGTATGATCTCCATGAGGACTGTGGTGTAGTCTTCCTTTCCCTCTCCAAGCTCAGGAACCTGCACGATGTGAAAGACATCTCCACCATGAAGGTTGGCCACACTGCATCCACTGCTGTCTTTGGGAACATTATGTGTAGATGTCGCAATATCTTCCATGGTGTGATTCTCAACCTACTGGCTGAAAGCAGTACTTTTTCTAAAATTCCCTGTATGGGGAACCAACCAAACCCTGGTATGTCAGACAGAGGAAGGGAGGAAGAGAACAGACCTACTGCCTTTTAACAAGCATGCCAGAAAGGGTGAATAATTAAGGGTTTGCTGAAACTCAATATGTTGGGCCAAAAAGTACAGATATCACAGCCTAGCTGTAAATCACTATAAAACAGGCCAATATCCCATTTAAAAGAAAATACAAAAAAAAACACAAACAAAAACAACAAAGCAACCTTAATACTCTACAAATCAAAGGTTCCACACAAATCTCTCAAAGATTATAACTTACATAGATATATCAAGGAGTCAAAGATTCCTTCGATGTCTTTCACCTGAGGTAAGTCCTTCCTCACAGCCGGTGGTTTAAAACCCCAGTTCATGTTGTTTTCAAAATGAGTGCCAGACAACTAAACATAAATGATAATATATAAGATGTTCAATGTAAAGGTAAAGCTGGGTTAACAAAAAAATTAAATAAAATAAAATATACAGGATACCCTGCGTGGGTTCAGGTAGCCCTATTTTGGGTGTTGGGTGGTGGGGTGTCAGAATAGGACTTACTGCCCCTCCCCCTTCTTAACAAAAAAGGTAAAAATTAGGGGTGTTTCCTTGAAGTTGGAGTGCACCTGCCTGAGAGACGAAGAACCAACAGTCTCCATACAAATAAACCAGGTCTGCAAAATGGAAGTGTATGCAAAACTCAAGTTCTGGAACAAGACCAAAGTCCAGAAGTGGGTGAACAACCAGAACTTGAAACCCCAGTTTAAAGCAGAAGAACGATATGATGAAATTGCATTTAAGAAAAGAAAAAAAGATTAGTTTTTGTCTCTATAAGAAAAGAAAATATGAACAACTGAACTAATTTTTAATAATCCTTTTGACAATACTGTCATAGTCTTCACAAAGTAAAGTGGCTTAAAAAATTATGACGTCTGCTTGTTGTTAATTGGGTCAGGTTTGCTGTACTGTTTATTTTTTTTTTTCACTCCCAAGACACTGAAGTAGTGGATTCCATTAGTCTCATGAGTTATGAGATAGATTATCTTCACAGCACTCCGGACACATCCATAGGTGCTGAGATTCCCCTCTTAACATATTTATCAGCGTCACGTGGTTAATAGTTCCAGTCCTATGCTAGTTAACAAGATGTTGTGTCCATCCGGTATGCTTCTCATTCTTGGCTGTGCCCATCTTTACTCCCAATTCTTGCATTCTTAGCAGTGATGTGGACACGTTGCTTCCAAAATTCTCAGAACATCCTATCTCTCTAAGGGCAATGACAACGTCTGAGAGATCCATGGGCCGGTCATCTTCAATTAATGCAGCACCTGCCAGTCGATCAGCTCTTTCATTACCAACAACACCCGCATACCCTGGGACCATTAGTCTCCTAATTTATAAGTTTGAAAATAATGAAAACATGGTCTTACCTTTTCACTTGATGTGGACAACAGAGAAGTCTCTGACCCTCTTCTTGATAGTTTGCTAACAAATAAAATAAAGTATATATGTCATTTACTAATTAAAGTTGTTAACAACAACTTTGTGTAATTGTTTATACAGCGGTACCTCAGTCATGAACTTAATTAGTTCTTTGATACCATTCTTGAAATGAAATGTTCATGAGCCAAAACAATTTTTCCCCGCTGAAATCAATGCAAATCCACTTAATACCTTCGCCCTATCCAGAAACATATTATTATTATTTTTTTTGTACTTACATTTTTTCTTAACTCTACCAGACCGCTGGCCCGCTATTACGAGAATTTCCTAAGCTGCTGCTAAACCGCTGTCTCTCAATGTCGGGAATTTGCGTTCTATGAGAAAACAATGCGTGACAAACTAAAAATAACTAGCCAATCGTAATTAGACCTTGTGCATAGTCATTCAAGATGTCAGCCAGCATGCCTTTAGATTAAACTTGTGTTGATTTACGTGAACAAATTCTGAAAATTCACAATAAAACGAGCAACTGATGAACCAAGCACTTCAAGAGGAAAGTGAAGTCGGTCTAGGCTTTTCACAGTCCAACAGGTGATCGATACTTTAGTTGATTCGGACACTGCGGGGTCACAATTTTATGAAGAATACGTTCCTAGTTGAAGTGATGAATGATGAGGAGAATCTTGAAAATTATAAATCTAGAAATAGTTCGAAAGTAGGAAAAGGGGGCGTGCCCCTCAAACAGCAACATCTGGTGTTCACTTTGTGAAACAAGGTTGATCCTGCTGGGTGGATTAGCACACAAAGTGGAGTTTTGGCGCTAGATGAAAGGTAAACCTATTTTCTACAACGTCTCCAAGTTTCATCTTATTCTAGCCACTTCTTTGCATGTAACTAATATTTGTGTACATCATGTTGGTTTTTTCGTGTTAATGCCCAGGAGCTCAGGTATAGAGGGCGATTAGGTTCAGGGCCCAAGGTCTGGTAGGGTTAAACTGATTTATTTGCGACAAAAATATTTAGTATAAAAAATACTGTATAACTTGACTGTTGTGGTGGACAGTTGCTAGCACAGGCTGATGGTAGGAGGAGGAGGAAGGCTGCCCCTTCAAAGGAGAGTCCCATTCCATAATAATGTAGGGCAAATGTTGTGGTTCTTCTAGTCTTGTTTCCATCATTTGTTTCTTGGGAAGTGGTTCAAGTGTTGGCTTGGAGGTTAACAATAATTATTTTGACTTTTTCAAACACTTGAGACATTTGCTACATTTACATAGGCACTGCATTAGCCACATCAGCCCTCAAGCGCAACTATGTTCTTTAAGCCAGTATAGATTGTAAATTTAGCCATATTGTACAGCTTGGGGAGATCAGAAACACAAACGCCAAACTCACGTTTAGTTATTTCCTCCTTCATTTCTACTGTAATAAACTTACGCTTCTTCACACCATTATCACTTTCAACTTTCTTCTGAGCCAAAATGAGGGTTAATTTAATGTAAAAAAGAAAAGCAAAAGCTACCCGAAAAAAGTATCAAGAACAATATCATGACAAACAATTTTCACAGAGCCGAGCCGAAAACATGGCGCTGAAGCAGAGTCAAAACTGGTTCTAAAACTGCGTTTGTGGGTCCGTTTGTTCGAGACTACAGGTGTTGGTAACCACTGTAATTGCATGTCTGTTTCCTGTATACAATTGCACTTAACTATTCTCATATTTGCTCAGTTGCTAAAGAGATGTAATAAAGCTAGGGATCACTGCATGTACTTAATTATAACTAAATGCAAACCAATAAGGTGCCATCTCCACAACAAAGGCTGAATGCAGTGGATCCCAGCACTTCTTGTTCATATAACACAGACTCTCTGTCTCTTGTCCTGATTGTTCCCCATCTCTTGATGATGTTGTCCCAGTTGTACCAATGTCTACCTTTTGCTCTTTTGCCTTGCCCTTTTCTCTCTCTTCTTTCCAAAATGGCTTTTCTAACAGTGTGATATCATTACAACAAATGAAGGCTTCTTTCAACATATTCTAAGAGCAGGAAATATAAACAAGGAAAGAATCAGCTACCTTGATCGAGGCTTGGGAGCTTCTGTAGACGTAGCAAAGTTCACTAGAAACTCCTCCAGATGTTGTCCTCTCTGTCAATAAGTAGGTTGTAAGTTTATAATGGAATATTTACTGGTTATGTATCATGGTTAAGTGGATCCATAAAATGTTACTCCATTATAATTATTTGGTTACTGGCAATTAAAGTGTGTGTATGTGATATGATACATTATCCACAAATGGTTATATACAGTCTAATGGAAAGCATTATCATCTCACCTTGATCCTCCTGTATCATGCTTGAGGTGAAGTATAATTTATGGGAAAGCCCACGTCTGTGTGCTTTGTAAATGGAGATTCTCAAGGACTGTATAAATGCCTCTGTCCATCGCTTGCATGGTCGGCCCCTTCTTTGCTTCCCGACTGGTCTGTACATCACTGCTTGCTGTGGTATACTGTTTGCTGATATCGACGTTATATGGCCAAACCATTTCACCTGTTGTCTTCTAATGAAATCCAGAGCTACTGTTACCCCATTTTCCTTCAGACTTCATTGTTTCTGATATTATTTCTTATTGTTATACTGGGAGCCCTTTGCAGGAATCTCCTTTCCTTTGTTGTAATTTGTTTTCTTTTTTTCTGTCATTGTCCAGACCTGGCATTGGTAGCACAGGGTTGGCAAGAAGATTGTTTCATAGAGTGCTCTTTCGGTTTCCACTGACACATGTTTGTTTCTTAGTATTTGGGCCATTTGCCCAATGAGTTGGTCTGCTCTGTTAACATATGTCATCAATTTCATCTTCTGTTTTGCCAGCTGATGATATTATGCTTCCCAAGTATTTGAAGTTCTTGGTTTGTCTTCTTTGGCTAAGGTCATGAGTTCTATTTTGTTGGCGTTAATTTTCATGTTATGCTCTTTACAAATTTGGTTTCAAAAATGTATATAGTTTTGCAGTTGTTTCTAAAATAGCAATTTGAGCTTGGTCGTTTGAAATCCTTAAACATCATCTAGGGTCCATGGCTGAGCACCAGCAAGGAAATCAAAGTTAGGATTTTGAGAGCATGCAACATCCCTGTAGTATTAACATACGGATGTTGTGGACTTTCTCCCAGTCCTTAAGAAAGAAAATAGGAGCTCTTGAGCTGAAATGCTATTATAGAAGGATTCTTAGAACACCATGGACAGAGAAGAGAATAAATACTGACATTTTATAAAATCTGAACATCAAGGACGATTGGCTAATGAACAGCGTCTTATCTCAGAAGCTGAAATATTCTGGTCATAAAAAGCGCCATGGTGGATTGGAAAACAATAACAGAAGGCAGGGTACCAAGAAGGAGGGGCAGGGGCCAACCAACATGAAGATGGGCGCAGGATATAAGTGAATCCTTCAATACGAAAGTTCACGAGTGTCACATACTGCTGGTGTCACGTGCCTTGGTAAGGGTTTCCCCTGATAAATTAAATGACACTCTGAATGAGTTATAAGAATGTTGAGATGTTGGCTTGCAATGGTCTAGGTGGAATCCCGCAGCTCCAAATCACATCTAACCTACTTCAGGGGTGAGGCAACGCAAACTATGACACTTCAGAACATAAAATATTCCTAGGCGCAATTAAGCCCCCAGACTAGATATTCTCCTATCCTAGTCAACATAAAAAACACAGCAAAATATGCATTATAGTGATATTATACACACTCCAGACAACTAGGAACAGTGAAGGATGGACACTAAACCAAGAAGGTAGAATTTATAAAACATATTGTAATCAGTATAACCAATACAAGAATAAGGCAAAGGAATTCAATATTATCAATGACACCGAGGAGACAAAGACAATTTATAGATGACTAGAAAAAGGGTTGCTCCCAGTGGCAGCCAAGGTCATCATAGCTATGTCGTAGAACTATGCCACAGTGGACAGGGCACTTCGGTGTAAGAGTGACCACAACCTCTGGAATATAACTCTTTTGTATTCAAATCCGGTCCACTGTAGCACATCACTTCTGCATTTGGGATGGTTGGCACTAGGGTACTGTTCAGCTCCTCTAAACATGAACTGCTACCCTAAAATGTATACTCTAGCACAGAGTCATCTCAGATACAATTTGAAAATGGGGACACAAATACTGTAGACCAAAAGGGCAGGTAACCTCTGGCTTCACCATGCAGCTCCCTGGGGATGTATCTCTCCCAATGTACTGTTAGACATGTCGGCAGGCCTCATGGTAGTATCTTCTCGCAGCTGGTGGTAAGGAATACTGGTGATGTGGATGGATGATGTTTATCGATCAGGTCTCCAAGGTGATTAAAATACCAAGCTTTGGATTCTTCTAGGAAACTTGAATGTTCATTCAGTTTGGACAGAATGGATGGATGATGTTTATCGATCTTTTCTCCAAGGTGATTAAAATACCAAGCTTTAGATTCTTCTAGGAAACTTGAATGTTTCTTCAGTTTATACAGAAAAAAGCACAGAGGCAAAAAAAAAGCATCCTTCCATGATGCAGATTTGATAGAGAATAGTTCTGACACAAGCGTCTCGTTCTAAGAAGGAGGGTAAAGATTAATTTGCCCCAGGCGGTGGTATGCTTATAGGTCTTTTGGCAATCATTACCAATGAATCTTTCACCTACGATTATAGATTCAAAACTATAACGTTCCCAAGAGAATTAGAACATATAGGAGTACTTAACTCGACCCAAAGACCTATATTTACAAAAGATAGACTATATACCTATAGAGGCAGGTACATTTTTAAACTTAGTTTCATCTACATAGAGGTGACAGGATCTAGATGAGTCCAAGAAGAAGGGGTGGCTTGGACTGTTACGTGACAATGAGGCAGGAGAGCTGGCGAGAGACTGAGTTTCTTTCAGGTAGACTGTGATGAGAGTGACATTCTGACAAAAGGGCCTGCTACAAGATGATGATGATGATGATGAATGGAAATCAGGTCTATCTGAACCTATGTGGGTCCCCCAGCCCTACTGCCGGGGAGAGGGGGGGGGGGGGCAAGAAGAGAACACACCCACTGCCCCCCTCCCCCCAACAAGCTTGTCATAAAAGCTGACTTATTAGGGGTGTTTTCTTCGGCGTCAGAGTATATCTGCCTGAGAGGCAAGGAACTAACAGTCAGCATACAAATAAGCCAGATCTATATAATGGATGTGAACACAAAACACAAGTTCTGGAACAAGACCAAAGGTCAGAAGTGGACAAACAACCAGAAATTTCTACCTGAGTTTTCAGTCAGTGAATGCTAAGAAGAAGAAGAAGAAGAAGAAGAAAAAGAAGAGTATATGTTTTGTGTGGAATATAGGACTGAAACAACTTCAACAACAATATATGTTATGGGTGGAGTATGGGGCTGAAACATCTTCTCTAACATCAATAGAGGGTCATCGTGAATGACTGCCAGGATTTTAAACTGTTATTATAAAAGAAGTATTTAATGGATTTAGGTTTAAGTTTATACAACACATCAACATCATGGAACAAGGGTTGTAACCCATAAGCGCTCCATTCTACTTCCAACTCGAGCCTTAGTCCGAAGATATCAGCGCAGTGCACGAACTCTGTAGCACCGGCGAGGATCCTGAAATATCTTAGGTAGATTTTTCAGGTCCAAATTTTGCCAGGGCAGCGCTGTTAGGCTACTCTTTTCAAATTCCAAGTGATTTTTTTACGTGCGCAACAATAGACACGGGCATCCGATCATACTACCTGGAGACCAGGGAAAATTACAAGTCCACGTGAAAAAATCCCAGTCTTCACTGGGGCCCAAACTCAGGACCTCCAGCACTCGAAGCAAACGCCATGTCTCAAGACCAGGCAGCCCCAAAAATGTAATGTAGCTGCATATCTAAATCGTGTCCAGAGTCACAGCTGCTTCATAGCGACCATGTCTTTAAAATGCTGGATGTTTCTTATCGTCTCAGTGCCATTT